AATCTCTGATTTTTTTTATTAGAAATCACATTTTCGAAAAGTGACTCGTACTTCAATTATTTTCTTTTTTAATCTTCTTTTTCTCTTATGTTGATGGATGGTCATTATCTAAGTTTACCCGAAAGAACTGTGCAAATATGAACTGAGTCTCAGTTGCAGTTTACTGTTTGAATAAATAAATTTGATGATAATGATTAATAATTTTTTAATGAAAACATAACGCAATGCGTGATGGGGGGGTAGATAATATCCCATGTTGAATAACTTATAAATAAATTTGAATTCCGGCAAAGTATTGTATTGTTTTCATGATGATGATATATTAACATTTTTAATAGCAACAACAGAACTTCAATATCAACGCGACCGCTGTGAAGATGCATTATGTCCATATTGCTTACCCATTAACCATGAAACAATTCTTAGTCAAACGTTAACCTATTACTACAATAATACTTTTGTACATATGCATTTTTGACGATTATTTCGATATTTTAATATTTTAATGAATTATCTTCGTAATTGTTGTAAATGTTGCTTATAAAACATTACAATAAATCGGTCACGTTGATATTGAAGTTCTGTTGTTGCTAATAAAAATTTTAATATATTATCATCATGAAAACAATACAATACTTTGCCGGTATTCAAACTTATTTATAATTTATGCAACGTGTGATATTAACTATGCCCGATCGCGCATTGCGTTATAATTTTCTTATTAAAAAATTATTAATTATTATTTATAAATTTTACCCTCAGAGCATAGTAGGCAATTTAAATCTTATTTAGCGATGCTTTACAATTTTTGCACCACGGTTTTAAACTTAAAAAACTATCGACAGCTATTCAGGGCACCTAGCGACACTAGGTAGATGGCCAACTTCATGTTTTTAGTTTAACTTAAGGATTCTGCCGGTGCTCCAAAAATTAAAAAAAATTTTTCCCAAGACGAACCGGTCAATTGTACCCGTAAAACAGTAATTTGTTTTTAAAAAATCTAACATAAACCATCGTAAAGAATTCTTTGCAACGAGTATTTAAAAAAAAAATAGAGCTTGCTACGATTATTTTTGCGCCCTGTAGGGTCGTTTTGAAGGTACGATTTGTGTACACAAAATGCCCAGAAAATCGTGTTGATTTAAGCTAAACGAAGGGTTTTACTTACTTCAAATGTTACCTTCAAAACAGCCTACAGGGCGCAAAAATTATCGTAGAGAGTTTTATTTTTTTTTTAATTACTCTTTAAAAAAAGTTCTTTGCGATGGTATATGTTAGATTTTGATCAACTTATAACTGTAGTCCATGGATACATACTAACAATAAATTTATTTTCAATAATTTTTAGTGTTGCGCTTAAATACTACCGGTAACTTGATATTGACTTAAACCCATACATAATATATATTGATTTAAAGAAGACCAAATTTTCAAGAAAGCAAAAAAAAATCGTTCCGGCACGATCAAAATAGGCGTAGATAGAAGCATTTTCACTTTTGCGTGAGGACAAAGACAATCAACAATATCAGACGCTATATGACTGCTACATTTTAAATAAATTCGATGGTGAACTTTTCGTCGAAAGAAAACACTAAAATTCATCTTTTCCGTATATTTAGGATGCGTAAGAAATATTTCTCTCACTTTTTACTGCGTGACGATATCAGTCATTTATTTACACAAAAGTCGTTTTAGTTCGTTCATACACCGTAAAAATCAGTTCACGATGCGAACGAAAATCGGACAATAGCGCAAAAAGGTGTCCACATACCATAGCTTGAAAATATAAACTTTGGACAGCGGACGAGTTTCGTACGCGCATGTGTAGCGCATGCAAATATTGGGTCTCAAAATCGAATATTTTCCGATTCGAATATTTTTCGAAATTGGGCATTTTTGAACTGTCGCGAAATAATTTTTATCACTGTTTCATATGAAAACATCGAAAATACTACTATTCAATTGTAAATATCCTTACTTATATTTACACGCAGATGCAGAAATTCAGTTTTAGGGTATAATGTTTGACTGATTCTTAAAATTGGACGCCTAACGACAAAGGCATTTTCTTATGTCCAATAATATATGTAAAAGTTAGAAATAATTGATATCTAACTGTTCCGCAACCGCGTACAGAGCAGGACATCAAAAACAAGCTTTTTCTGACTATCACCAATGAGTTGTCAGCGCTCTTCAATATTCTTTAGCCATTCTTCTGTCAGGTCTCATAGATTTTTCCCCAGGGTTTTCAAGATAAAACAATTTGATCACATAATAATTTTTTTGCGATTTCGTATGTTATGGCTCGTTTGCCAAACATTTTTTAATTGTTTAAGTCGTTATTATTTCTTGCATTCATCTTCGCTTGTCAGGCGAGCACGAGTGCAAGAGAGCAGGGTAAAGGAGAGAAATGATTACAACACATTTTATATTGCATTCAACTTATTTATTAATAATCTTACAATTAATCGACGATGCTGCTGCTACTGGGTTGGCTGGCGCTGATGCTGCGTTGACGGTTGGCTGTTGCTGTTGCGTTGATGGTTGGCCGTGGCTGTCAATGGTGGAAATCTCGCCGGCGATTAATTTGGATGATCGCTGACTTACTGCACTTTTAACTTGTTACTGTACACTGACTCTACTAAACCGGCGTTGCTCCGCCGTACGTAAAGTCTCATACTGGGCTGACTGATGCCCTCCTTTTTCGGGCCGTATATAACCGAATTTCTTATCTGCCCTCTATTGATTCGTGCGGGGGCCGATAATCGGGAATACCTGCAATTGATTGCAATTTCTTCGAATTGTAGTAGCTCGCAGACCTCGATATACATCTGATCAAATAGCGTAACGTGCGTTCGATCATCCGTGGGCTTCAGGCCCAGTGTGTGCTATCATCGTGCTATCATAGCGCTCGCAGAAGTCGCACTGCTCGGACAATGGGGGTCTATTCTTCGTTTTACGAATTGCGTGGAATGAGGTAAACGCGTGATGTCCACGTGAGCTAAATGTGTAACAGCCACAGTTCCTTATCAGCGTAAATAAGTGCAAGTGTACCGATGCGATGTCTTGTACGCTGCTACCTCCGGTCTTCCGTCCACTTGTTCCCAGAAATCTCCGATCTTCGCAAACATATCAGCACATATCAGTGCGTTATTGATGTCGTTTTACCTGATCCAGTCTAAGCGTGGGCAGTGGGCACCTCTTATCAGTACTAGCATTTGAACATCCGAAAAAAGGGGCGTTATACTTCCACAGAGACTCGCGCGTGCAACCGTCGAATGTTTACGCAACGAGTGCCTTAATTTCGGTCTCACCTATGCGTATGCTCTACCTCGCGCTTGTAAAGGCGCGCTCAATTAATTTTGTTATAACTGCTTTTGTGTTATAACACGTATGAAACTCATATAGCAGAGATACGTGCGTCGCTACACGTCGTCTGCTGCGATTCCATGACATGGCAATGCTCTATTTTAGGCTCAAAATTAAATGTGTAATATCGTTTGTTGATTCTTAAAAATCTTGAAAACACTATGAAACTTGATACTTTTGCTCTTTCGTTCCAAAGGTGGACTCAAAATACTTTGTCAATTTACGAATATGAAATATATTCATGAGCTTGAAATGAGTACTTTATTGATCCAGTTTCATAATATTTTACAATTTTCAACTTTTTTCAAATTGACAAAATAACTATCCGCATCCGTTTGTAAAAAAAAACGTTATTTTCTTTTTGAAATGTTCAAAGCCAGTCAGATGACTATTTAAAATCTATTATACTCAAACCAGCAGCAAATTCTTGAACCTTTACTTTTATTAAAGGTCCAGATAAAAACACATTTTTATCTTTTTGTAGTTTGAACTATCTCCTCCGTATAAAAAAGAGAATGGCCGAAAAGTGAGACCACGTAAAAGGACCTCGAGTTAGTACTTAAGTAACCTCAAAACATGAAGAAAAAATTGACGCGCACGAAGCGTGTTTGAAACTTACTAGTTTTATAAATTACTGATTGACTTGCAGTGGCTTCATTCTTTTACTCAAATTATTCTCCGGCCACTTTCCCAGATCGATTATAATAAGAACTTTTCGCATATTTTTCAAAATGTTTGATAGCGTCGTTTGTAGAATATCCTATTAACTTGCGTAAGTTATCTATTTTTGAAAAAACTGAACGATCTATACTTTTTATCGTGACAGAATATAAATCGATTTTATAAACAATGTATTAACAAATAAAAAATCTACTATTAGCTGAATAATCATCGATGCATATGTATCTAACATGTTTTCACCACTAAATTTTATTTTTATCAAAAATTAAAATTATTTTTTTGAATTCAAAATAATCGTTAAATTCAAAGTAAAACTTCTCATAATTTGAAAAATTTGAAAAAAAATGAAACTGATTTACTATGAAAGTTTTAAAGGCTGAAACATTTTGAGCTAAAATTACACTTGACCTTGAAGCGAGTTGCAGTCGTTATTCTTTTATTCAGAACCCACCCAACCTTACTATTTCTCATGAGAAATGTTCCTCCAGGACCTGCTGAGAGTGAGTCCTCCACTCCGTTTGGGCCTTCTCGTACCTGAAATTGAGCATTAACGGGTTGGCAAAGAAGTCAACGCAATATTTCAGAACACAATACTTTATTCTGAAGACTACCTACTTTGTAACTTATTTGATTGTTTTTTAATGAAGATTTACTTTTTAACTAACTGTGTTATCAGTATGTTAGGATAGAGACTGAATTTTTCAATTTCTATAATGTAAGGTACTTAGCATAGAGTTGAAAAAATTATCTTTGTAAAGTGCTCTTTTTTACAGAGCCAGATCTCTGCTTATGAGAATGTAGCAAGTGTAGTAAGGTTGCAAGCACAACAATCTCTTCTTAAATTAAAATGAATGTTATTCGTGCAAAGAGGTCCATAAATTATTAATGAACATTTATAATAATCTATATAAGATCGCATATTATATGAATTATTGTTTATTGTTTTTCAGAATGAAGTGATTGAAGTGCTAAAAAATATAAAACTGTCAGCGGCTCAAATTTGCAGTTTTGTTATAGGTGATGCATGTGATAATACTTATAACCCTTTGCATGACTGGGAAGTTGTATTCCCACCAATTAAAAAACCTGATATACAACCACCAATTCCTCCAAAACAAGGTCTACCATCTTTTAAGGTTTTGCAGATTTCTGATACACATTTTGATCCATATTATCTAGAAGGTTCAAATGCAGATTGTAATGAACCACTTTGCTGTCGCTTAACTAACGGATCACCAAAAACTCCTCAAGCTGCTGCCGGAAAATGGGGAGATTATAGAAAATGTGACATGCCAAAACGTACTCTGGATCATATGTTAAAACATATTAACGAGACTCACATGGTAAAACTTTTATAGTTAATTAAACTTTTTTGATAACATAATGGAAATGTCAATGCTATGTACTTTAACCCATTAAGTTCGGGACGGCAAATTTTTAATATATTTTTGAACTGTTGTACTTTTGCTGAAAATGAGGTCTGGATAACTTGCAAGTAAGCATCCTCTACGCAAAATTTAAAGTTTACAAATTTACAAAATTTACAAAAAATGGCTACTGGAAAACGAAAAATATAAGAAATTTTTGGAATTTGTGACGGTGAACTCCCCGTGCTCACCGCCTTGACGGGCTTTTTGCGTCTTGGCTGGCTTTACCGATGAACGGCGCGCCAGATGAGCGGTTGCTCGTCACCGATCAGGGCATGACTAGCTAGAAATGAATGAAAAGAGAGGCACGAAAAGACACGCGATCGTCGGGGTCTCGGGCTCGGCTCACCTCTGGGAGGGACGCCGACGGGAAGGAACGGGGACTCCGTGGAACTGCAGCACTGCATCTAGAAAGGGGTCTTGTTCAAAATTCGGAACGATTAATATTCGGAAAGTTAGT